TTGGTTCACCCTCCAATGGCCGCCGCTGCAGCCGGCGCACCGTGCTGATCCGATGGCAGAAGCCCAGGAGCCAGGTGCTTTTCCTGGTCTCCCATGAGAGTGCAGGGCCCAAGCACCTGGGCCATCCTCCACTGCACTCCCTAGCCATAGCAGAGAGCTGGCCTGGAAGAGGGGCAACCGAGACAGAATCCGGCGCCCCGACCGAGACTAGAACCCGGTGTGCCGGCGCCGCAAGGTGGAGGATTAGCCTATTGAGCCACGGCGCCGGCCCAATAATATAATATAATATATTATAATATATGCACAATACATTATAGATATAATATAGTATAATAATATTAATTATGTAATTATATATCATGAATTAATTAATAACATTCATTAATCAATATCATTAATTATGTAATATATGTGATATATAATTATAATTATTAGATATTGTATTAGATATATAATGTATAATATTGTATCTAAGATATATAATAATATAACCATGATGTAAATTCTGAGAAGTGAAATGTCAGTAAAACAATAATTAAGCAATTAATAAGCATCATTTAAACTCAGCATTGTATTACATGCTTTAGCAAATATATACACATAACACTAGGCTCTACCCTAAAGGAACTTAAAATCTTAATATGGAGAGAAAACTCCATGAAAGGAGGTAAAATTTACTCTGAAATAAATAATATTTTGTTAATGCAAAGAAAAGAGGGATTCACATATATATATATACAAATTACTATTATTACTATTATTCACATATACACATACAAATTACTATTATTTAGGTAATTTAAGAAAGCCATAAAATAATGTTTTAAAAGCCAGAATTTTAGAAAATATCTTACACATCTTGTAGGAAAATGAATTGATACACATGATGTGGGGAGCAACTGGGAGCAACTCGGACTAGACTAAGTTACTGGAATTAAGACTTATTCTATGCATCTGCTTTCCCACAACATGGCGCTGAGAAGGGAAACAGCTTCTACACAGCTGCCTCCAGTTCAACCAATAAACTGTGGGACCTGCTCCTGATTGGAGGAGAGCAGTGTACTTGGCGTGTGGGTAGCAGAGTTGGGATTGGCGGAGGAGGACTATAAAGGAGGAGAGAGACGGCATGCACCAGGAACATCTAAGGGGAACATCTGAAGGAACACCTGTGCAGCCCCCGAGAGAGCCGGCCGGTGGTGTGCCGCTTCCCTGCGGAAGTGGGGAATGTGGCAGGGGGAACCGCCCTTCCACGGAGGTGGAAGGGACAGTAGCCAACCCTGGAAGAACCAGCAGCAAACCCGGGGAGGGCCGAGCAGACGAAAGAACAGCGCAGGGTCCTGTGTCGTTCCTCCACGAAGATGGGGAGCGACACATGAGAGTATTTTTAAAGAAGTGAAGTTAAAATATAAATTATTTAGATGCAAAAAATGTTTGGAATTCATAATATTCACCATGACTTTTTGAAAACTCTTCATGTGATGAATTTTGAAGTTTTTGTACCCAAATAAATGCATCTTTTAATTCCATTTTCCATGAACTTTTGATGTGACATCATATATTTGATGAGACAATTCAGCAATATGCAGCAAGAGCTTTTATTTTAACTTTTATTTAATGAATATAAATTTCCAAAGTACAGCTTATGGATTACATTGGCTTCCCCCCCATAACGTCCCTCCCACCCACAACCCTCCCCTTTCCTGCTCCCTCCCCTCTTCCATTCACATCAAGATTCATTTTCGGTTCTCTTTATATACAGAAGATCAGTTTAGCATACATTAAGTAAAGATTTCAACAGTTTGCTCCCACACAGAAACATAAAGTGAAAAATACTGTTTGAGTACTAGTTATAGCATTAAATCTCAATGTACAGCACACTAAGGACAAAGATCCTACATGAGGAGTAAGTGCACAGTGACTCCTGTTGTTGACTTAACAAATTGACACTCTTGTTTATGGCCTCAGTAATCACCCTAGGCTCTTGTCATGAGCTGCCAAGGCTATGGAAGCCCCCTGAGTTCACTGACTCTGATCATATTTAGACAAGGCCATGGTCAAAATGCAGCAAGAGCTTTAACATGTACATTTTCTTCTAGAAATTATGTAAAATAAAGTAATTAACAAAATGCAAAAAAGTATAGAGTTCATAATAATCCCTCAACTCTCACCTTTTGTTTCTTTTTATAAAGATTTTATTTATTTTTTTTTTTGAAATGTAGATTTACAGAGAGAGGAAGAGGCAGAGAGAAAGGTCTTTCATCTGCTGGTTCACTCCCCAAACTGCTGCAACGGCCAGAGCTGGGCCTATCTGAAGACAAGATCCAGGAGCCTCCTCTGGGTCCCCAACATGAGCGCAAGGGCCCAAGGACTTGGGCGATCTTCCATTACTTTTCCAGGCCACAGCAGGGAGCTGGATCAGAAGTGGAGCAGCCAGGACACAAACCTGCACTCAGATGGGATGCTGGCACCGCAGGCAGAGGTTTAGCCTATTATGGCCCCAACCCTCACCTTTTTCAGATTTCACAAATCCTGTTAGTTCTACTATATGAGTATTTATGAATGAACAGAATGTTGACATATAATTTGAATATATCTTTAAAGTATTTACTTCTCCATTGCAACTATCCAGTCAAAGCCACCATAGGCTTTCCTGTAGACCACACTAAAATTAGCCCGCTTTTTCTTTCTCTATCATTTCACAGCAACAGGTTTGATTTACAATGTAAATCAAGTTATGTACCTCCTCCTTGGTTTTCCAGTGCACTAGAAATAAGTACAAAATCCTGAACATAGTGCTTTAAATAGCCCTCTTCACCTAGTTTTTGTTGATTTTGTGAAACTTATTTTATTCTAATCTTCTCGCATATACCTATGCTCTGGCCATACTGCATATCTGAGTTATCTTCACATACCAATTACTGTGTTGTGATTCCTCCCTCAAACACATACACACACACACGCACACACACTCCTACATTCACATACACACATTTTGTTCCTGCCTGGCTGTTGCTAAACATTCAGGTCAAAATGTAAATGTCACCCTGTAATAAATGCTTTCCTGAACTACAATGTCTAAAGTAGTCCCTACTGCAACATACTACCACTTCTGTGTTCTCAATCATCCTTTCATTTCCTCTTCCTCAGATTTATTATGATTTCTGAATTTGTATTAATGCATTCTTTATTTAAGTGAAAGGCACTGAAAAAGAAAGAGTAACAGACAGGGAGAACAAAAGATCTCCCATTTGCTGGTTCACTCCACAAATGGATGCAACATCCAATGGAGGGCCAGGCTGAAGTCAGGAGCCAGAAACTCAATCCAGACCTCTCAGGTGGATGGCAGGAACCCAGTTACTTGAACCATCAGCTATTGCCTCCCAAGGTTCATGTTACCAGAAAGCAGAGCCAAAACTGAATCTCAGGTCTCATATGGGATGCAGGCATCCCAAGTGGTGTGTTTGTCTTAATGGCTGTGTCAAACTTCTGCTAAAGAGCTAATTGTTTAGAAGGAAAAATTATCGACTAAGATTTTACATAAATTATTAAATATTCTTTTCCTACAACCCAACTAAAGTAAAAATTCACATAAGTAGTATAAGAACACAGCTTTAATTTTAAAGTTCATATTAAAGTCACAACTGAATTCACCAGTACAACTTCTGTTGAAATGAACAATGCTTTCTAGTTACTAATTTATCCCAAAAGATGAATTGACAACTTACCTGATATCATCAGAAAGCCACCTCCAACTTTATAACATCCAGCATTGGCAAACGGCACACCACACACCAGCAGAAATCCCCCAGCCAGACCAGAACCAACACCTAATATAATAAAGATTGTCCAGAAGCCTCTGTACACTAGATAATGAGAATAAAAATATGTATATTAGAGTGTTGTCTGTAACATTGGGAACAAATACAGAAGCTAATCTATCATTAATGATGGGCATTAACTTTATTTGGATTTCCAGCTTTAAAGCTATTTGATAAGTGAATCATCATTCCCTACTTACTCGCTTCTGTCCCTTGTATCTTTCAATATCTAACTCAAATGAACTCTGGTACTAGAAATCTTCTCTTACTGAAAGAATGTGTTAGATGCTACTCCAGTGTGCTACCATAGCATCCTTAACTTGCATTTATAAAAAATCTATTATACTAGACTGTAATTATCTGTTTTTTTCTTTACCCTTGAATAAACTGAGAGCCCCTTGATGGCAAAAAAAAAAAAAATTTACTAATTTCTATAAATCCTTGGCTCTGAGTAGACCTCAAGAGAGATTTGTTACATTGGATCATATACATCCACTCAGTTTCAGTCCGGGAAGAATAAGAGAAGGAATTTTGCAGGCTTTCTGGCTTTAAGTTCTCTGTGCCTGTTCTATATGATTCATGAGTTTTCTTTCCCAAATGTGAAAAAACCATAAACCAAGACTCCCAATTGAGCGATAATAAGCAAAAATACTGACTTCTGATCTTCAACAATGCCTTTTACCTCCCTTCCTTTCTACACAAAACTTACAGCTCTCAGCTCTGGTGTTGTGGTACAGTAGGAACAGCCACTACCTGTGATGCTGTCATGCCATATAAAAGTACCAGTTCAAGTCCTATCTACTCCACCTCCAATCCAACTTACTGCTAAAGTGCTTAAGAAGGCAGAAGAAGATGGTACAAATCCTTGGTTCATTGTCACCCATGATGGAATCCCTGGCTCCTGACTTTGGCTTCTCTCTCTCTCTCTCTCTCTCCCTCCTCCTCCCTCTCTCTTTCTCTCTCATAAATAAATAAATAAACTTAAAAAAAAAAGCTTTCCAGCAGCTGCCAGAAGCCTACGTGTCTGTTTACTTTAAACCTGTGCTGTCTTTCCTAACAATCCACCCATTGACTGACATGCAATTGCAATTTTCCTTTCTCTAGACTTTCTAAATGGCAAAACTTCTCTGCAGGAGAAATATGAGAGCACACTGCATTTCTCTCAGATGTATTCTACGTAACTAAATGCATTCTGAAAGTACAAAATGAGTTCTCTCTCTTACTTTACTGAAACCCCAAAGCAAAGGACTACAGAGCTTAACTTTGTATTTTTCTTACCCTTGCTAAGCTGGTCCTTATAGTCCAACTGAGAGAAAAAAAGGTTGCATGGTACAAAGTGAGGTGGAACATTAAAAGCAATTATCTGAACTGTAAAATGAATCCACTCAAATTTTTCTTTGAAAGGTCTATATCTTTCATTAAGAAAAAAAAGTAAAACGTGAATCCTAAATTCTCCAGAAAGTTGCTCAATGTTTTATTTATATTTCAGCTATAATTTAAAAATATATTCTCCAAAATCATTACTCATTTTCCCCCTAGAATTGAAATCTGTTTCAAATATTCTCTTTTTCTTACAAATGCTAGTAACTGGAAGATTGGAAATTCGTTTGAAAACAGAAGCGTCTAACCCGGAAGCACTACTGTGGGGGCAGAACAGAGAGTAGGACTGGCATGTAAGAATGACAGAATGACTCTACCTTGCACCTATTCAGAAACATTGACTCTTCCAAGGAAATTACACAGTCCAGTCTCCCTTCGTTTTGGAAGTAGTATTTTTAAGTACCTGATATTATGAATCAATGTCCATATTAAAAACTACACTCAGCAATTTCTTAAACTGTGAGTCATAAAATCCTCTTTCTTTTAAAGTGTGCAACTGTCTCTGTGACAGTAATATCATCAACAACAGAAAGGGGAGGAGAGAGGGAATGGGGATTGAGGTAACCATCTTTGAAATGCTTTCACTAGGAAATTGGTATTTCTTTTACCAATTTTTCATGAGAATGCAGTGTTAAAGCCTAATGAAAAGTCATCATGTTTGTTTATTCACCTCTTTAATATTCCCAGAATGAAAGAAAATTGAAATTCAGTAATTAATATGAAGCAAGCATTCAATTAATTCAAATATCAATTCCAATAAGGGAACATTGAAGAACAGCGAACATGGAAAAATTCTTACATATGAGAATGTAAGTTGCAAGAAATTATTGACATGTTTGTTTCATTGGTGGCCAGGATGCCTTTTGTGGATTTTATGGTGTGCATTTGAAAGTGCAATTTTCTCCAGAAGTAGAGATTGTCTTTGGTAAGTTACTTAGCTTTTATGAGCCTTGCTTCTCCCTGAAGTAAAATGGGGACAATAAAAATTCAGAATAATGGTGATGATAGAATAAGTTTTAGGTAAAAACACACAGCACTTAATAAATGAAAGCTGATCAGTGTTATTATTATCATTAGTATTTCAATCACATTGAAATTATTTCAGTCACACTATTTTATGGCATTTCCTTTGGGGCTTGTAACAATAAAGGTTCAATAAAAGCACAATAAAATTGAATTGCTCCTTTTTTTCTTTAACTTATACTGTTAAGGAAATGGTATAGTACTTTGCTGGGGATCAGTAGACCTCCATGCTCATGCTGACTCTATGCTACACCCTGGCCCTGAAAAAAATCTCTTCATACCTCTGGACTTCATTTTTAACCCTCTGGCAAAATGTAAAAGTCAGTTTTGTTCATTCTACACCACAATTTTGGCAGTTTTCTGGTCTTTTTTTTTCAGCATGAGGATTAAATGCATTTATAAATGTGTCATTTAAACACAAAGCCTGGTCCACATTAAGTATCTAATAAGTGTTAGCTGATTAACTACTATCATCATCCTTAAGTGGGGGTTGCATTCTTACTTTGAATATAGACATTTCTGTTTGCAGTCGTAAAAGTGCTCATATCAAAATGTTAAATTACTTTTTGTTGTAAAGCAATGTGTGGAATAACACTTCTATAGCCTTACCCCAGCATTATTTCACAATTCTTGGATAGGACTATAGAATCAGAACACAGTGATGGAGCAAGACAAAGGAGTGGGGTGATATTCAAAGAGTAAAGATGTATGTTTTAAACATCACACAGGAAAATTTTAGGTTACTGTGTTGTTTGTATTTAAAACCATGCAATAATGCCCTATGTCAAAGCAATGCATAAACAGATACTCCAAAATGTCCATACTAATATGGTATATCATTGAGGTCTATTGTGATGATAAAATGGGATAACGGATGTGTATGTACCTTGTAAGATTATTATGCTGGAACAGATATCTTACCTACTCCCTGACTGCTCTTTAGCTTGTTTTGTTTGCAAGTGAATGGGATTACAGATATTGTGGACAACATGATCTGTGCATGTTGATTTTTATTTAAAATACCCCATCCCCTCAAGTGGGTATTTGGCCCAGCAGTTAAATCACAGATTGGAATGCACACATCCTATATTGGAGTGCCTGGTTTAAGTCTCAGCCACTCTACATCCAATCCAGTTACATGCCAATGCATAACCTGGGAGACAGAAGATGATGGGTCAAGTACTTGGGTCTCTGTCACCAATCTGGTGCACACTCTTGGAGACAGCAGATGGTTGCCCAAGTACTCAGGTCCTTGTCATCCATGTGGAAGACCCATATTGGAACAAAGATTCCTGCCTTCAGCCTGGTCCAGCCTTGGCTGTTGTGGGCAATTGGGGACCTCTCTCCCTCTGTCTCTCCTTGTCTGTCTGCCTTTCAAATAAAATGAAAATGAATATATTTTTAAAGACTCCTCCCAAAACAGTACAGAGGAATAAATGTAACAAGATGGCAATTTGCTGGCAATTTTTTTCAAAATCTGGGTACTGGTTGTATATGAATTGATAATGCTATTAATCTCTTTATTTATGTGTATGTTCCAAATTGGTAGTTTAAAAACAACAATGTAGAACAGTCCAGATAAGAAGATTATGACACTTTAGCCTCCAAAGCTAAGAAATGTAAGTGGAATACATTTCTGAATACTGTACAGAAGTGTTTGAATTTATTTGCACATCTCTATCTCCAATTGATGGATATAATAAATGAGAATACCAGTTGAGCCACAGCCTGCAAAGCTGGCATCTCATATCAGCTCTGGTTTGAGGCCCAGCTGCTCCAATTCCAATCCAGTTCCCTGTTAATGAGCCTGGGAAAGCCATGGAGATTGGCCCAAGTGCTTGGGCCCCTGCACCAATGTGGGATACCTGGATGAAACTCCTGACTCCTGGCTTTGGCCTGCCCAGGCCCTGGCCATTGTGATCATTTGGGAAGTAAACAAGCAGTTGGAAGATCTCTATGTCTCTGTCTGTTTCCCCCTTGCTCTCTTTGTAACTCTTCCTTCCAAATAAATAAAATAAATCTTTTTGAAGGTTTTAGGATAAAAAATAATTCTTGATTTGAATTTGGATACTACTACTTTCAATCTCTCTGAGCATTGGTTTCTTCATCTAAAAAGTAATTCCAATAACCTTTAATACAGATGTTCATGTGAATAGCAACTTTCATAATTTTACCTAGCTCAGTACCTAGCAGATGTGATTATTGATTCCTTTCTTTTTTCCCTTTGCCTGCATCCAATGTCACTCACTGACAAAGTGGCCAGATGAAATCTATTTTGTGGCTAGGGAACACAAGCAGAGATAAACAAGTTAAACCAAAAGCTATCACAAAATAGGAGCAAATCAGTAACATGGAAGCTTTTGTTAAGCACATATCTTGGTTATATACACCAATAATTCCGAGGATATGTTTTCTATCTCACCTGTAGTTGCATCAAAGGAAGGATGTGGAAAAGGCCCAACAGCAATCGGCATAGGAAAGAGATACCCAGGAATGCAGCGCTTGGGATGAGGCTGGTTCACTGCAAAAGAAAAGGTTTAACTTACTTCTAAGATCTTTGATATCAAACAATGACCATTTACACATCTGTAAAGTCAACAAAACATTATAATCGGCTACTTAATATATAATGGGATACAAATTTCTCATCTTGCAGATAGTACTGGTAGTATACAGACAAAGGAAATGACTTGCCTTAAGTCGCATGCAAAAAAGTAGAAAACAGAATGCAAGTGTCATTACTCTGATTGAATGTCTCCTTAAAACCTCGTCTTCTTAGATATTTAATGCACATCTAATCAGTATCTATCATGTTCTAAAAAGAACTAAGGTAGGTGCTACAGAGAATATTTAGTCTCCAGTTTTAAAGAAATTATAATCCAATGGTGGAAATAGACACACACGTCCAATAAGCTACAGTTAACAGTAGTCTGTTCCAAGATACATAAAATGAATGCAGAATATTACCCTAGATGTCAAAGAAGAGCGAGAGATGAATTCCAATCAAAGGGTCTAAAAATGTTTCATAAAAGTTATGGAATTTGACTTTGATCTAGAAAGATGAGTATGGGTTTATCAAGTGAAAGAGGGAAAAAGGAAATTCATCAGAGTAAGACATGAGCAGAGGCAGCAATATGGAAAAGTAACAGATAAATTTAGGGGAAAAAAGTGACATTTCAATAATTAAAGAAAAGTAAGAGATTTCTACTTTCTAAAAAACTGCACCAAGAGACAAACAGTAGCTACATGTTTGCCAATATAGCACAGAAGTACTATTCTTTTTTTTAAAGATTTACTTATTTTATTTGAAAGTCAGAGTTACACAGAGAGAAGGAGAGACAGAGAGAGAAAGAGGAGAGGTCTTCTATCTGATGGTTCACTCCCCAGATGGCTGAAATGGCCGGAGCTGCACCGATCCGAAGCCAGGAGCCAGGAGCTTCTTCCAGGTCTCCCAAATGGGTTCAGGGTCCCAAGGACTTGGCCCGTCTTCTACTGCTTTCCCAGGCCATAGCAGAGAGCTGGATCAGAAGTGGAGTGGCCGGGTCTCCAACCAGCGCCCATATGGGATGCCGGGGCTTCAGGCCAGGGCTTTAACCCACTGCACCACAGCACCCGCCCTAGAAGTACTATTCTAAATTTATTCTAAACTAAGAAACAAGCCAAATTAACAGTAGTGTGAGATACTAGCCTACAAATTATGTTACACAGTATGATACAGACTAAGTTGCATGGAAATAAGCTAATTGCTTGGCTGAAGCTATGGTGGTCAATATATTGGATGACAGAATCAGGATTCTAAAAGATTTCAAGAATGAGTTGAACTTGTCATAGTGAAATTTAGCATGGATAATTTTAAATCATCACACTTAAATTTAAAAAGTCATTTGAAAAGTAATGTGATAAGCAGAAAATAATGCAAAGAAATAAAATGCATATTTTATGAGATTGGCTATATATTAAATAAAAGTAATTGTTTATTAGATTTAACAAAAAAAGTCATGCATTTTGGGCTGTATGAATAGAGGTAGGGTACACAAAAAAAGACAAGTGATGATTTACATCTGGCGTAATGTCTGGTGTAATGTTGCACTGCTGGCTGTCACATTTCAAGAGGGCCATGAAGAAACTAGAGTACATGCTTGAAATATAGTAACTCACTTGAAATATAGTGACTAAACTGGTGACAGGATAGGAATCATATCTTGTCAGAAAAAAAGTGGGATGAAATTAGAATACTTAAGCATAGATGCTCATGGCAGGGGTGAGAGTGAGAAGGAATGAATAACGATGTTCATTAGACATTTGAGGAGCTAACATAGACAGAAGTGACCAACTTGTCCTCTGTGGATCCAGAGAACAGAATGACAGCTCAAAGTCAGAAATTTCCAAAATGCTGATTTTCGTTCAACAAAATGAAGAAACATGTAACAATTATAACTGTCAGATATTACAGTAGGGTGAAAGATGCTAAGCCTCCTTCAATGGAGTTGCTTAAAAATAGTCTTGATGGTTACTTGTCAACACATTATAGAAGAAATTCATTCATCAAGCAGATAGGGAGTTGGACTCAGTAATCTCTAAGGTTTCCTCTAATAGTAATGTTCTCTGATTCTATAGTCTATGAAAAAACATGTCATTACAATGGAAGTGCCATCATACTATTATTAATATCAGTATCTTGTCATGATTAATGATATACTGAGAATATTAGATGCATTAATAGAGTGACCACTTATTTTAAAGTGTTTTCTAGCCAGCAGTAATACTTCATAATAAGTGGACATTTGTCTCTGCTTAAATTACTAAAGAATACCAATTGAACTGATTGTTACTGCAGCATGAATATCAAATTAATTTGCTACAAAATGTGTCTTCTGATTAATGTCAAAGAAAAGAAAGATTTGCCTATGCTCTAAAAATGTGGGTTATTAATGACAAGAAACTTCAGTATTTATCCCTTCACATGTCTACTTCAGCACCACACCAGTTTTAATACATAGGCCTGACATGTCAAGGCTGTGAATCTCATTTATGTGTCAAAAGCTATAAAGCTCACAAACATTGATGAACTATAGTCAATTGTGGCAAACAAATATCCAAGAGAAAAATCAGTGGGGAACAATTAGTTTTATGTACAAACAGGTTTATAAGCTTTAATAAGTGTGTGTTGGTGAAAAACAGCATTCAAATGGCTGACATTGAATGAAAATCAAAGATCCACATATAAATATGAAGGAAAGTTGAACTGTTAGTTTAAAAATGACAAGATTATAAATAATCATGAATTAAGATCTGGATATGAAATAATGGTAAACAGAAAAATTGTACCCCAAAATACTAGAGGTTTGCTATTCTTTTTTATTTATTTGTTTGAGAGGCAGAGTTACAGAGAGAGAGAGAGAGAGAGAGAGAGAGAGAGGCAGAGAGAAAGGTCTTCCATTCCATGGTTCACTCCCCAAATGGCCAGAATGGCTGGAGCTGCGCTGATCTGAAACCAGGAGCCAGAAGTTTCTTCCAAGTCTCCCACGTGGGTGCAGGTGCCCAAGCACTTGGGCCATCTTCCACTGCTTTCCCAGGCCATTTGCAGGGAGCTGGATTCAAAGTGGAGCAGCCACTGTATTGTTCTACTTTTTGCTAATTATGAATAATGCAGCTCCATATGTTAATGTGCAAATTTTTGTGTGCCTTGTGTTTTCATTTCTCCTAGATATGAACTTAGTAGTAGAACTGCTGTGAGAAGCAATAACTGTATGTTTAACTTATTGAGGAATTATCACTTTCCCAATGTGACTTTACATTGTCACCAGTATTGTATGAGGTTCCAGTTTCTCCACATCCTTCTCAGCAATTGTTTCTGTCTTTTTGTTTATATTCATCTGAGTTGGTGTGAAGTAGCATCGTATTGTGATTTCAATTTTCATTTCCCTAATTAGGTGTTGCAGGTGGCAGCTTAGCTCACTGCAACAATGTGAGCTCCAGTGTTTAGGAATTTATCATACCCTTTTTGGAGCATTCGTACATCTTGCTTAGAGAAATGTCTGCTCAGATAGTTTATAAATTTTAATTGGGTCAATACTCTTTTTAAACTGAGTTTTTAAAAGTTTTATTTAATTTACTTTTTTTATTTGACAGGCAGAGTTAGACAGTGAGAGAGACAGAGAGAAAGGTTTTCCTTCTGTTGGTTCACTGCCCAAATGGCCACTAATGCTGGCGCTGCGCCTATCCGAAGCTAGGAGCCAGGTGCCTCCTTCTGGTCTCCCATGTGGGTGCAGGAGCCCAAGCACTTGGGCCATCCTCCACTGCCTTCCCGGGCCACAGCAGAGAGCAGGACTGGAAGAGGAGCAACCGGGACTAGAACCCGGCACCCATATGGGATGCTGGTGCCACAGGCGGAGGGTTAACCAAGTGAGCCACGGTGCCGGCCCCAAGATTTATTTAATTTAAAAGATAAAATGACAAAAAAGGAAAAGAGATGGAAGGGAAAGAAAGGGAACGGAGGGAAGGGGAGAGGAGGGAAGGGAGGGAAGGGGAGAGGAGGGAAGAGAAGGGAAGGGAGGGGAGGGGAGGAAAGGGGAGGGAAGGGGAGGGAAGGGAAGAGGATATCTTCCATCAAGTTGTTCACTCCCCACATGGCTGTAACAACCAACCTAAGCCAGGCTGGAGCCAAGAGCCAGGAATCCCATCTTGGTCTCTTGCATTGGCGGCAGGGGCTGAAGCATCTGGGAGGGATAGAGGGAGGGAGGGAGAGAGAGTAAGAGAGAGAGAGAGAGAGAGAGAGAGAGAGCGCTTCCATTTGCTGATTCACACTCCAAATGGCCACCACAGTCAGCTTGGCCAGGCGGAAGCCAGGAGCCAGGAGCTTCTTTTGGGTCTCACACATGGGTTCATGGGCCAAGGATTATTTTATATAATTTACTTCTGAACACCACCTATTTCAAATTTAATACAAAACCCACATTTGGATTTCCCAAGTGTCATGTCTTCTGGTTCTCTGTTTGGGACACAACAGTCATCATCCCCATGGTTGGTGTTATATTTTTCCAGGCAGCTTTGTTATACACTAAAAGTCTTTCTATTGATTCTGTTGACAAAACTTTAATGTACATAACAGAATCTGTCCCATAGCCCTGTAAGAAAAATAGATTTACATCTCCTTGGAAGTACTGTGCATAAAGATATGATATGGGCAATTCATAATCAACACCAGCCAGGGCACTGCTTGGGAAGTCTGAATACCAGTATAGGGTGCAGTTGAATATCTGTAGTTGAAGAGCCTTTCCTTTTTTCTCTAAGGGACACCACTTCCTTGGTCACTCATCTTCACTATAAATCTTTGTATAATCTGAGTATAATGGTTTGTTATCCAGTGTAATAGGAGTTTGACTAGAAGGTGTAACAGTTAGCTTTTCATTACTAAAATGAAATGTGTAAGGCAACCAACTTTCTTTTAATTTTTGTTGTTTTGTTTACTTTTTTACATTTTATTTAAGTTATACAAATTTCACATATTTCATATATAGA